CTTAAGTTTTACTTAAGCTTAGCTTTTATCTATAGTACTAGGTACTTAATACTCTATCTCTATTATTNTATCTTAGCTTAGTTTAGGTTTAGTAGAGCTAGATTACTTAGCTCTAGTTTCTTTACCTTTACTATTTTCTATTTAAGCTTAGGTTTAATTATAGGTATAAGCTCTACTATAATAGTTAGTTATTATAAGCGTAGAGAGTTCTAGTAAAAAGAAGTATATATAGATAAGTAACTATAAGTAAGCTATTATAATCTTAGACGTAAATATATTAAGTTACTAGATACTTTCTTTGATTATCTTTATAGATAAGATACCTTTTAATATTATATTTAAATATCTACTTACTAATTAAGTTCTTATAATTAGCTCTAATAGCTAAATAAAAAACTTACTTACTTTAGCGTAGTTAGAGTATTTTAATCTCTATATAAAAAGCTCTACTAGTAGTAAGTATAAACTACTTATTATTAATAGCTATAAGAGTTATAACTCTATCTAATTTTAAGATCTTAATAATAAGAAGAATAGTATTCTTCTCTATATACTATTATACTTATCTTATTTATTATAGTCTCTTAATAGTATCTATTTCTTACTTTTAAAGTATAAGTATAATAATATAGTCTTAGACTTAATATATAACTATATTAGCTATATAAGTAAAAAGACTATTCTACTAATTTTTAAGACTACTTTTAAGTATTCTATTATATAGAAGAGTATCTAGATAGTCTTTAAAAATACTAATCTAGTTCTATATAATCTATAAACTATACTATTATAGCTTAATATAATAATATAGATACTATTATAATTATAATAATAAGTAGCTACTTAGATAGTATAGATACTACGTATTACGCGTAAAGTTAAGTCTTAAATTATTTCTATTTAAAAGAGTATAAAAAAACGTTATAAATCTTCTACTAATAAACTTACTAAGTAAATTACGTAGTTAAGTAAGAAGGCTTAGTAAATAGTATATAAGATAATACTTATTATAAAGAAAATAAGTACTCTTTAAGTAGATTAAAATAAATTAAATAAGTATAAGAGCTATAAGTAGTAATATATATAGATAGAAAAGACTCTTACTACTAGTAAGATATAAAACTTATTAGCTAAATAAATCTATTATAGTTATAGTAATAGTAAAAGTACGTTAAAAAGAGTATAAGTAGAGAGATACTATAGATATTATAAGAAGACTAGATATAACATACGTATCTATATAGTAAAACTTAATAGTACTAGTAATAGTAATAGATCTGAAGAGTAGATTAGCTTATTATAATTTTTAATATACTATTTTAAATAGCTATAATAATATTATAAAGTTAGCTTACTAGTAGAGAGTAAGCTACTTACGTAGATAAGCTACTTACTTATAAACCACGTTATCTCTATTATAAATTACTATTTTAAAATTTAAGTAAGAGTTTATAGATAATAATATCTTAAGTAGTATCTTAGAGATATTTACTATATCTAAACTTATTAAAATAATTAGAGACTCTATACTAGAGAAATAAAGGTTAATTACTAATATTCTTATTAGATTTTTATATACTTATAGTTACTAGTTTTTATAGAAATTATAGTAAAAGTATAATATTATTTATAAGATTATAGCTATATAAAGCTCTAGTAGCTCTTAAAAAGAGTACTATACTAGTCTTACTATTTAAACTATAAGCTTAGTAAGTAGTAGATTATACGCTAGTATTTAAAGAGATTATATTACTCTAATAACTTAAAAGAATTAAAGTCTTAATAAAGCTAAATAAATGTTATTATAGGAGAAAATACTACTTATATAAAAAGATAAAGGTATTTAAAAACTATAATAAGCGTTTAAAGAGTACTAAAGCTAATATTTTACTTAATAAGAAAGAGTATACTCTAAAAAGGTAACTAAAAAAAATTTTAAGTAATTAGTTAGATACTAATATTACTTATAGTAAGTTCTTAGAATAACTATCTAAGTAGCTTAACTAAGTTTTATAAATAGTTTACAAGAAAAGGTCTAAAATTAATTATATACTTATTAAAAGACTATATTAAAAACCTTTTTAGTATATTTAAGAAACTAAGAAAATCTTTTTATATTAGCTGCGCTATTAAAATTCTATTATTTGTCTATTTTCTTCTATTAGTACTTTAAAGACGCTTATCTATAAAAAAATATTAGAATAACTTATTTAGAAGTAAATTAATAAAAAATAAAGATTAAATCTTAATTAAGATACTTTCTATAGATAAGTTAGCTCTAGGTATTAGTTTCTAATAGAAGTAAGTTATACTAAATTCTAATTATATTAAGCTACTAATAGCGCTAAAAACTATAAGTTTTATACTTAGACTAGTTATTAAGTACCCCCCTACCTCTAGATAGAGTAGAGGTTAAGTAATAGTCGCATAGACTTAGGTAGAGGTTAGATAGAGTTATATAGTTCTTAGGTAGATGTTAGGTAAAGTTATATAGACTTAGGTAGAGGTTTGGTAGAGTTATATTATCTAATCTAACTCTACCTAACCTCTACCTAAGGACTATACGACTCTATCTAACCTCTACCTAAGTCTATGCGACTATTACCTAACCTCTACTCTATCTAGAGGTAGAGAGTATCTATTAACTACTAAAAGTATTTATTATATTTATTAATTATAGCAGAGGTAGAGTAGAGTATTACATAATCACTACTCTACCTCTACCTCTACCTAAGGCCCGTGCGACCCTACCTAACCTCTACCCAATCTTGGCGCCAAGAGTTAAGTAGAGGTAGAGTAGAGTTGCTAAGAGTTAGGTAGGGGTAGAGGTAGGGGTCTTACCTAATCACTACCCTACCTAACCTCTACCTAACTCTTAGTAACTCTACCTCTACCTAACCTCTACCTAAATACTAGTCTACTTATACTAGTAAGGGTTAGTTTAATCTAGATATAGATTAAGCTAAAATAAAGTCTTATAAGATAGTTAAGTATATTTTAAGAGTATAGCTTAGAAAGAAGTAATATAAGACTTTTAGTATAGAGCTTCTTATTAGTTAGTTTTCGCAGATAGAGAGATAGTATATAAAAGAATAGTAACTTAGATAAGTAGAATAACTTAGTATATTATACTTATACTTAGAACTTAAGTTAAATCTATTAAGCTATAATAGCTTAATATCTAATACTATATACTAGAGCTATATATAATATTCTTAGTTTCTTAGTACTATTAAGAAGTACTAATTACTAAGTAACTTATATATTAATATAATGAGTGCTTTATTACTTAGTAGTACTTAGATATACTTATTACTATGTATTATATAGATTATATAATATACTAGTCTTAAAGAAGTATCTCTATTTTCTATAGTCTTTCTACCTTCTTATAGAATACTAATTAAATAAACGTAATAAGAAACTATTCTCTATATTCTTAAGCTAATTATAATACTACTTCTCTTCTCTTATAACTTATTTTTATAATAATATATAGGTAAGAGTTTCTTAGAAAAAGTATATTACTAGGATTTTATAGTTACTATAAGTTAAGTATTTATAGAAATAATCTATTACTAGGAAAAGTAAACTATAATAAATGTAGCGTTTATATAAGCCCTACATTTCTAGAAGTATAGAGTTTAAATAAGCGTTGTATTCCTAGTAATACTAGATTTCTAGAAATACTTAGAAATAAAACTTCTATCTATAATAGACCGAGTCAAATAAGTACTATATTCTAGAAGTATAGTATTTATTGCGCTAGCTTAATTAGAGTTTAGCGTAGTAGCGCGCTATAACTAGACTAACTCTGCGTTATAGAGTTTTATTATCTATCTAGTCTCTTTACTATACCTAAATAATAACCTTTATCTAGTACTATCTATTCTTGAAACGTTACTACGTTTATTAATTCTTTTAGAAAAGTTATAGTTTAAAAATATTTAAGTTATAATAAGAATAAGTGGGTATAGAAAGTATATATCTATTTTAGAAAATGTAGTAAATATCTTTATTATAGCTAGTAGTATAATATCTAAGTTACTAAGTAATAGTCTAAGTATCTTACTACTAAACAAAACAAGTTATAGGCTTTTATTAAAGAGAGTTATAAGATATAAAAAACTTTAATAAAAGCGTATAAGATAGCTTAACTAAAGTTATAAATTTATTCTACTTAAAAGTAGTAGTTATAGCTATAAATAGATTTATTAGAGACGTAGACTAAGAAGATAATTAGTATAGAGAGTTAAGAGGTTAAAGAGTTAGAGTAAGAAGGCATTCTAGAGTTTAATAGTTCTAATCTATTAATTAACTTATCTTCTAGTACTTAGAGTGCCTTTACGGATTTACCTCTCGAGTATTAGAAGCCTCTTAATTTAAGCTTAGTTACTCCTAGTTCTAGTAGTAACGTATCTATCTTAAGTAGTAGTTAAGATATATAGTATAATTCTCCTTAGTATACGGAGGTGCCTTTTAAAAGTATTGTCTGACGCTAATCTTGGCGCTTCGGTGCAACTCTTCTTAGCGCAACTCCTACCTTTGAGCTGAGGGGCTGTCTAATTAGTCTACCTACTACTACGTAGCTATCTTTTTTACTATGGCTTCTTATACTGATGTATATACCCGTACCTTAGTAATCGCGTTAAAGTCACCTCCTATTGGCAAAAATACGTCACAAGTCTCTGCGCTAACTGGCGTTAATCCTCGTACTGTAGATTGTATCTATAGTAGAGCTATTGCTGCAGGCTTTGAGCTAAACGACCTTCCTATTAAGATCCTTCCACACTATGTTTAGGATGCTCTAAAGCCTGGTAGACCTGCTAAGCAGGCAGAGGAGGTGAAGGAGCAGATATTTCAACAAGTACGACACGATAGATATGGACGAGAGAAGAGCTGTGCTGACCTTACTAGTGGGCTTAGTCTCTAAGGAGTCAAAATCTCTGCCTCTACCGTCTAGAGGGTGTTAAGAGCAGTAGGATACAGGAAGACTAAGCTAATAAGGAAGCCTAGGTTAATACAGGAGATAAGGAGTGCTCGTCTTAAGTAAGCATTAGAGTATAAGGACTAGATATTAGAGGATTGGAAGAATGTTATCTGGACAGACGAGACGTTAGTGGTGATTAACTATCGACGTAGGGGCTATAGAGTCTAGAGAAAGGCAGACGAGAGAGTAGTTAAGAGCTGCATCTGTGAGAGGTAGAAGGGATACTCTAAGTTTATGTTCTGGGGCTGCTTCTTGTATGACAAAAAAGGTCTATGCTATATCTACTAGCTAGAGACGAAGGTAGAGAAAGAGGACGCTGCTTGTTGGATTAAACAGCTAAACGCTAAGCTTAAGCCTTTGAAGCGAGAGGAGTGGGAGCTGTTTTTAGCTATAGAGAGAATAGGGCTGCGTAATAAGCGTGGTAGAAAGCCTTAATAAAGATAGGCAGAGAAGATAGGCAAGCTAGTGCGTAAATCTGGAGGTGGCATAGACTGGTGGAGATATCAGACCTGCGTTCTGATCCCAAAGCTGATTCCTTTCGCTAAAGAATGCCTCTAAGATAGACCTCAGACTGTTGTAATAGAGAATAAGGTATCTAGCCACGCCTACCACTATTAGAGTGTAATCTATCGCCTACACGACGTTAAGAGACTACTCTAGTGTAGTAACTCACTAGACTATAACTGTATTGAGCTATGCTAGTTCTATATAAAGAGAGAGACTATAAAGAAAGGAGCTCTGCAGTTAAGGGCTGAGGCAGTTAAAATCTAGTAGAAATGCTAGAGAGATCTCTCGCAACTTAAGATCTAAGCTTAAATTAAGCGAATTCTTATATATATTTAAAAGATAATTGAGCTAGAAGGTGGTAATGAGTATATAGAAGGGAGAGATAAGCCTTAGATAAGACGGCCGTACTTCGGTTAGATTATTCTTAGTAGATAATACTTTTGAAAGGCATCTCCGTATATTTTATTTTATTAACTATTCTATTAGAAACTAATCTATTTACTCTAAATATTAGAGTAGCTAGATAGATTTTAGTTTTCTTTTATACCTATTTTAAATTTTATTATTTTTAATCTAATGAGAGTTTTAATTTATAATTAGAAAATTTAGATTTTAGTTTCTTTATATTCTTACTATTAGACTATCCTTACTATTAAACTAATTATTTTGTTTTTTTATTTTTAGTTTAGTAAATAAAGTTTTTCCTAACTTTAAATTTACCTTCTTCTTTATATTTATTATTTAATATTATTAATAATAGCGTTTTAAAGTCTACTAGTTCTAAAAGTTATATATAGAATCTTTAATATATATTTTTATTAGTTAGTTAATTATATATATATATAACTTTCTAATTTTAATTTAAAATTTAAAATAGTCTTATATTAATATAATCTAGTCTCTTACTAGATTATTTAGTAAAAGTTTTCTTTATAAGTAGGTATACTTTATCTCTCTTCTTTAGCTAAGGTGCTTTTTTTTTCTTATTCTAGTAGAAAAAGCTTTAGTATTAAGCCTATCTAAGTAACTTTTATAGTTCTTTATAGATTTTCCTATATTATTTAGCTATTATAATAGCTGCTTCTGTCTTTAAACTTTGATATATTCTAGTAAAGAGATTTAGATAGTATCTATAGTTAGTGTAAAATAGTATTTTATCTATTATTTCTTAAACTCTATTACTATATACTATTTACGCTATAGATAGTAGTTATACTTAGTTATTTTAGGAGTAATTAGTATAAATCCTAAGCTATACCTTTATTATTAAATTTTTTTTATATTTATCTTTTAGTTTAGAGATAGTAAGCTATTAATAGGTTTCTCTTAGTTCTAATTACTATAAGTAGTATCGTATCGTCTAAGAGTTACATATTACTAGCTTATCTCTAATACTAATAATGAATTTACGTATTCTATAATATTAGATAATTCTAATATAGATAATATATATTAGGTCTACTACTATATAGTGATTACTAAATAGAATATATTCTACTTTCTTTATAAAGTAATCTACTATATTAGGTAATTTATTAAAGAAAATCTAAGTTATTAGATTCTTTAAAGTTTATAGTCCTATTATAAAGTTTATTAAGATATATATCTATAATTTTTAAAATAGTTCTTAGACTTGTATTTCTCTATAAATTAAGTATATACTACACTTATTCTTCTAGTATTCTATATCTAGAATTATTATAATATTTCTTAATAATAGTTTAATATACCTTTTTAGATATATTATTTCTAATTTTAATAGTAATATTAAGTTTATGTATAGATTTTAGAGATCTATCTTTATTAATCTCAAATATACGTCTATTTACTATTATCTTTATTTCTATAATATTTTATTATTAGCTAAGACTATTAACTCTTCTATTTTCTTTTCCTAGTATATAGATAATTTTAAACTTATCTTATTCTAGTAATTTACTCTATTTTATTTATCTATAGTTTAGTACTATTATTATAAAGTATACTAGGCTCTTATGGTATATATAGACTATAATGTTCTTAATAGCTTTTTTTATATACTCTCTAGTAGTGTAAATATTCTATAATAGCTAGTAATTCTTTATTATATATATTATATTATTCTTTTAGTCTTGAGAACTTTCCAGAATAGTATACTACTAGGTACTACTTATTATTAAGAAGTATACTAGTACAGTCTCTTAGTGCTAGGTCTTATACATTAGTTTTAATCTTTATTAGTATATCTTAGATAAATATCCTTAAGTATAGTAGTATAATATATACTATCTTAAGCTTATTAAAGACTTTATCTATCTCTTTACTCTATATAAATAGTATATTCTTACGTATAAGTCGCATTATTTGTATTATAATCTTTAAAAGAATTTTTATAAACTATTAGTTAAAGTTTATAAATTCTAAGAATAATTAGATTTCTATACTTATTTTTAGTATTAGTTAGTTCTTAATAACTTAGATCTTTTCTTTACTTATTTATACTCTATTAACTTTTACTACATAGTCTAAGAAGTTAATATTAGCCTTTTAGAATTTATACTTCTTAAGCTTAAGTCTAAGGCTATATTTATCTAGAGTTTTAAGTACTTTTCTAATATACTTACTATAATCGTTCTAATCTTCCAAATAGATAAAAATATTATCTAGGTAGGTAATAATAAATATATCTCAGAATAGCCTAAGTATATTATTAATAAGTTTCTTAAACGTTACTTCTTTTATTCTAATAAGGTAGTATCTACGCTAGAGATCTAGTACTATAAAGATCTTTATATAAAATAATTAATCTCTAAGCTCTATACTATTAAGTAGTACATACTAATTCTTTACTATAATATTATTAAGTTTTTAGTAATTGGTATATAGCTAATCTAAACTACTCTTTTTAAGTACAATTATAATTTAATATTCTACTAGTAACTTTAATAGTTTTATATATTCTTTAGTTAGGCTTTTATTAATATACTCTATTAGTATCTTAAGCTCTTTTTTTTACATAGTTAATATATAGACCTAAAAGTTAGTATTTTTTCTTTCTAAAGAATTATCTTATAGTTTTAGAGAGTATATTCTAGTAATACTATTTTATTTACTACTTCTTAAAATAGATATTTCTATTTCTTATATTAATTAGAGTATTCTAGAGTTATACTGTTCTCTCTTTCTCTTACTTCTTAATCTATTATACTAGTTTTAGTATCTATAGAGTATAGCTTCTTATTAAGATAACTACTATTTAAGTATACTCTCTTGTTAGTATTATTATACTATTTAGTAATATAACTCTTATCTACTATTTTACTCTACTAATATATAGACTAGCTTATAGATATATCTATTCTATAGTACTTATATTAAAACATTTTTAGTCTCTTATTAATCTATATATTATATTTTCTAAGCTATAGAGATTCTAAAATAATATTATAAGTAGCTAGTCTAATAATATCTAAGTTAATTATTTTTATATACTTCTAGATACTATATATTACTTATCTAACCTTAAATATAATATTACTTCCTTTTAGTAATAGTTTTCTATTAGCTGTATATAGTAGATAGAGCTATTATTTCTATTACTTTTTACGTCTAGCTTAATCTACTATATTAGCTAAATTATAGTTTATCTATAATTCTAAGTTTATTAGTATCTATATTAAGCTTCTATTAAGCTTTACTTATAGCTTAATAAGTTCTAGAGGTTCTAATATATTAATTTCTCTAGAGAGGCTGTATAGCTCTAGCGCTAGCCTAAAAAAGACTACTCTTACTTATATTTATAGTAGTCTTTAGCTACTATATACTTCTTACATTTCTTACTAAAGTATATCTACTATTAGTCTTCTTTATATTCTTTTTAAGAGCTATTTAGGTATTATACTTTATATATTATTTATATCTTAATTAAAATTTATTTATATATTCTATTATAAAAGTATACTATTTCTTACTTATTCTTTAAATATAATATATAGCTATTAATACTTAGCTATACTCTTAGCGTACTTTAGACTCTATCTAGCTTCTCTCTTATCTAAGTAGTAAGTAGAGTAGTAGTTATATATATATATAGTCTATAATATCTTTATATAGTTCTTATTTCTTATATTATACTAGTACTATATAGGTTTTTAGAAGTTATTCTATACTTACGTTTATTATAGTTATATTACCTCTTAAGACGTAAGTCTTTATTCTAATCTCTTAATATTAGCTATAATATAAGTATACGTTAGTAGTAGTTAAGTTATTCTAATCTTATAGAAGTTAATATCTAATTATATATACTATAGCGTTTAGTATATATTAAGTAGCGTTTCTTTATTATTATCTATATAGATCTAGACTATATTAAGTTATCTAAGTAATATATATAGTATATAAATCTATTATTTTACTCCTTATAGAATATCTTAATATTAAGTCTTAAGTAATTCTAGTAATATACTATCTTATCTTTTTATATAAGATATAAATAGTTTATTTCCTTTCTAGAACTATA